CCCCAGTTTAAACCTCTGCAATTTTGTTGTTGGTGTTGTTGTTGATGTAGTTGTTGTTGTAGTTGTTGATGCTGTTGCAGTTGTTGTTTCAACTGTTCAAGAATAGCGTCAATAGGCTTGTGGGTTTGTTCTTCAATGGTTTTCAAGAGTGTAAATAATCGTTCTTCTTTGAGTTGTCTTTGCTGACTTTTTGGTGGTTGTTGATCTAGTTCGCGTGATTGGTGAAGTTTCGTTTGATGCCGATGTTGTTGTAGTCGGTGAAGTTGCTGCAGTTGCTGATGTTGATGTTGTGGTTGATGTTGTTGTTCATGTGGCAAATGCACTTGTGGCTTATAAAATATTGTTTCCTCGTTTTGATGGTTATTAGAATGATGTGGTTGCTGATGTTGAGGTTGTCTTCGGTCCGTAGTCTGGTGTTGTTGTTGATGTTGTTGTTGATGTTGTTGTTGATGTTGTTGTTGATAATGTTGAAAATGTTGTTGATAATGTTGATGATGTTGTTGCGAATACTTTTTTCGTAGCAACAGTTGCTGCTGCTGTTGGCCGAACCACACATCACCACCCAAATCTGTGACGTCACTCGAGCCGACAGCATCAGCCACATCATCGGCACTCGCCAACCAGCTCTTATCACCGAACTCCAACCTCAAATACTCCACATCGGCACTACCGTTACTATAGTTCAAACCGCCTAACCCAAGCTGTCCCCCATTTAAATTCCCCACTCCACCACCTTCGCAGCCAAATATTTGCCTCCAACTTTTCCCCATCACAATCACAAGCGGAAGTAGATAAATCAGCACCAGCATAGATACAATAACGCTACGACGTTGGAAAAAATTTGCCATTTTTGGGTGAACGAGAACAATATATCTATGGAAAGCTATCGTGGTCACGTGAACGATGTTTTCCAAAATGGCGAGGTTGCTGCTGATCAGTGTGTAGACGCAAACGTAAGGTCCGAAAGCCCAGCTCCCTGTGACGTACGTGTATACGTAGAGAGGTCGGACCTGTTGGTGGTGTTGTCGGGATGTTGTTGTTTGTTTGTTGTTGATATTGTTGTTGTTATGCGATTTGAAAAGTTGTCGTTGTTGTTGTTACGATGTGATTTGAAGATGAAAGTTGTTGGTTTTGGCTGATTTAAAAAAATAAAAATAAACTCATGCAAAAAACGAAAGAATTGTCACAAACCATGATAGCATGGAAGAGATCGCATCCCGCCATTGAGACTATGAAGAGATTTGAAGCCTTCCTTAAAGGTGGATACCTCCAGACAACAACAATCACTAATCCATTTCCGAACGCGCCCAGGATCAAGATGGCCGATCCAAAGATGGCACCAAAAAGTCTTGAAAATAGCGGCATATTTTCCTGACCGTCGTCGTACGGGTATGTCGTTGCTGATGTTGTTGATGTGTTTGTCATTATGTTGTGGTTGTTGTTGTTGTTATGCTATTAAAAACAGTAAAAAAGTATTTCTCTTCTTTGCTTCCACTACTTCTTTTATTACAAATTTTTATGTAATTTGGCGTGACAAAAACTTAAAACGGTTTTTTCAGTTATAACAGCTTTTCGTGTTAATTCTATTTGATGTTATTACACCCAGAGATGTTATTTTTAATGTCACTTAATGTTCTTGTTGATGTAGTTTGATATAGAAAGAAACCTTTCAGAAGTTAATGTAACAAGGCAAGCACATGAATGCGTGCATGCTCTGAAGATGAAAAAAAAGGTTTTGTTCGTCTTAATGGAATATAAGCAGATGTGGGTTATTTAACATTAGCCAGCTCTTATATGTACTGACCGAAGTTTTTATTTGTCTCTCTCTTTCTCTCTCTCTCTCACTCTCACTCTATCCATTTTTTTCCTCTCTTTTACCTTTCTTTCATTCTCTCTCTTTCTCTCTCTTTCTTTCTCTCTTATGCACTAATCTCATATTTTTACTTCCTCTTATCCATATCTCTTTCTGTCTTCTTTATACTTTATTTTCTTTCCCTCCATCCATTCGTTTCTCTCTCTCTCTCTCTCTCTCTCTCTCTATCTATCTTTCTTTCTTTTTGCTTTTTTAATTCAGTCTTCCAGGTTTTATTATTTATATAAAAATATTTTTTCAATACTCTTTTTATAAATTGCGAGCTAAAAAAATATGGCTAATATGTCTGCTTGTTTGTTTGTGTTCTAAAGATAGATTTTGTTGTTGTTGGTGTTGATGATGATGATGATGATGATGATGATGGGGTGATGAAGATGATGAAGAAAAAGAAGATGAAGAAGATGATGACGGTATTGATAATGATAGTGATGGTGACGGTGAGGTTGAAGTTGGATCAGAATGTTTTCTAGGTTTAATTGGAAAGAGGGCATTGAATAAAATAAACAAAAAATGAACGAACGAATGAATGAATGAACAAACGAACGGACAAACGGAAAACAAATCAATAAATAAACGAATGAATAATTGGATGAATGAATGAATGAATAAATGAATGAAGAAAGGAGTGAAAGAAAAGATTAATTAGAGATTGATTGATGATTAATACAATACAGCTGAATGTATGCCTCTAATTGCATGTTTACCATTGCATTGCAAGTATATTTACATACCGTACGTATGTGTGTGTATGTATCAATGTTTGTTTGTATGTTTGTATGTATATATGTGTATGTATGTGTATTTGCGTGTGTTTCTTTGTATGTATACATGTACCCATGTTTGTCATTTCCGTGTATGTTTAAACTAACTAATATTTTGTGTACACTCAATTTTGATGAAAGATGTATTGCGTTAAAATTCGGTACTGTACTTTTTGTATTTTTGTATCAATGTATACTACTTTTTGTATTTTTGTATTTTTTGTTCAGTTTTGTTGTTTTGTATGTTTGTTTTTTGCACATTAAAAAAATTAGCTAGGTCTTTTTTTACAAAGAAAATTTCCTATTTTGAAATGGAGATATTTCATGTTAGCATATATGCCTTTCGGATCATTGAGAAATAAAAATTGTATGCCTGCTGTATGTATGTTTTGTTTGTATGTATGTACGTATGTATGTATGTATGTGTGTGTGTGTGTGTGTGTGTGTGTGTGTGTGTGTGTGTGCATAAGTGCATAATATGCGTATATACGAGTAGGTCATTGCTTTTCCTATCATTTCCACGGTGATCTTAATTCATCACAGCCGATACGTTCGCCACGGTGAACATCATCAGCATCTTCCTCTCTCTTTTCCTCTTCATCATCATCATCTTCTTTTTTTTCTTCATCATCATCATTACCATTTCTATTATCATCATCATTTCAATCATCATCATCATCACCGGAATGATATACTCACATCATAAGATAATGACCTCAATGATTCGGCCTAATCAGCAGCGTATATTCCAATAGCTGTTCTCTAGCACGTAGGCCTATGTTTCTTACCATCCACCTTTTCATTCTTTCATTCCAAAGTTCATTCATTCAATCAGTCGTTCATTTGTTCATTCGTTTGTTCATTTGTTCTCCAATTTTACATACATACACACACATATACATACACACACATATACATACGCACACATATACACACATATATACATACACACACACACACAAGCACAGCAGTAGAAGTTATTGATAGCAAATTAAAATCTCAAAAGTTCGGAAGAAAACACAAGCATACATGAAAATTCTTGGCAATTTAGAATGTAGATTGTACAAAATCAACTGCAAATACAGTAGAAGTAAGCATGGGAGCTGGAATCCCATGATTCTCTATAATAACCATATATATAACTCTATATAACCATATATAACTCTATATAACTATATTTAACTCTATATAACTCAATATGACTATATATAACTTCTATATAACTCTATACAACTATATATATATAACTCTGTACAACTTTATATAGCCCTATATAACTCTAGATAACTTTATATAGCAATATAAAACTCTATGGGAAAAATGGGAGTTTGGAGAAAATTGGAACGCAGAAAAGAATTAAAAAATAGAGAATAAGAATTTCCTGGAATGTTGTCATAAATAGGAATTAATAGGAATTATGGAGAGAATCCGGAATGTAGTAAAAAATGGTAGAAAATTGGAGGCAAATTTCAATCCCTGCTCACCTCTAATATACAGGTGAATCAAGGCATCTTCTTGTATTTGAACGCAGCCTCTGCAACACAACATTGCCGCTAGGTAGCTTAACCATCGAGCCATCGCGGTTTAAATAAATAGTAATTACGATGACGATAATAATATGAGATAACAAAGTAGAAAAATATTTTTTAAAAACAAAGCTTTGGGTATTTTTTAGCTGCTTCTAATTTTAAATGAAAATTTAAACGCATGCACACTGCCTGTGAAGATTCTTTTAAAGATTTTTCTTTCTTTTAAACCGCCATATTTTTTTGTCGACAATTTTTTTCTACTTTCGATTTCAAACGCTTTAAAGTTTGGACTTTTTTTATTGGTCATTTTTATTTTCGTTATTTTCGTTCGGTGATTTTTTCTTCACCAACTATCCAAAAATGAGGTTTTCCCTGTCAGAATAAAAAGGTTTCATCTTCATCTACTTAGCAGATCAACACATCTTATACAGCAGACACACACACACGCACACACCCACATATATATATATACATATAAATTATATAATATATATATATATATATATATATAAGACGGGAGACATATTTATATTAATGTTATTGGTGGTTAATGTAATATAGCTTCGCAACTCATGACACTATATGGTTATTATTGTTGTTATTATTGTTTATTATTATTATTATTATTTATTATTTTTATTTTTTTGGGTCTACATACAAAAAACCAGCCATGCTACAGGCAGGGATGTTATCTATTACACTTGACGCTCGGTTATGACGTGTTTGCTTGTACTGTGTATTGTATTGTATTCTGCTGCCTGTATGACGATGTAGAGAAAGAAAGAAAAAGATAAGGAGAGAGAAAGAGAGAGAGAGAAAGAGAGAGTAAAAAAATGTATGTATGGTGTGTGTGTGTTTGTGTGTGTGTGTGTGCGTGAGGGCGTGTGTGATATAAAAGAGCAGAGAAAAGAGAGAGATACAAGTAAAGAGATTATTTGTATGTGTACATGTATGAAAGTAGTGTGGTGTTTGCGCGAGTGCGCGTGCGTGTGTGTGTGAGTCTGAGTGTGTGTATGTGTGTGTGTTTGAGTGTGTGTATGTGTGTGAGTGTGTGTGTGCGTGCCAATGTGAGCCCCGTACGTAGTCGTATCTGTAAACGTTCCAAGTTGAAAGGGACTGAGTTGAGTTAATTAAGTAAAGTCGCATTCATTTCCTGTTTTAAGCATACTCTCACTATTACTACTGCTGCTACTACTACTACTACTACTACTCTTACTACTGCTGCTGCTGTCGCTACTACTGCTACTGCTCTTCTACTGCTTCTGTGTCTACTGTTTCAGATATTTTTAACATTGTCCCAAGATTTTTTCCTCTTCATTCATTACTTTTAATCGACTTCATGGTCATTGTGTTTTTTAAATTCGTTCTTTAACTCATTCATTTATTCATTCAGTCATCGATTTTTTTGTTAATTTATTTATTCATTCAATCATTCATTCATTCATTCATTCATTCATTCACTTTTTCTTTTATTCTTATATGCATTCATCCATAAATATATCCATTCCTTTATGGCTTTTTCTAATACAATTCTGTGCTACGTTGGTTCACATATTTTTTCATTCATTCATTTATTCATTTTTTAATTCTTTCTCCATATTTTTTTATTTTTTCAATCTTTCGCTGGTTCTTTCTTTTTTCGACTCATTCAATCACTCATTCTACTTTTTAACGTTTGTTTTATCTTGTTTATCCAAGAGTTTAATTAAATTTCCACCAGTTTTTCATCTAATGTTACTTCTATTCGTTCATTGTCATTCATTCATTCATTCATTCATTCATTCTTTTTCTCATTCATAAATGCATTCATCCATTACATACATACAATCCTTCATTCGTTTTATTCATTAACAAATTCATTCATCTCTCCATCCATCCATCCAAATATTCAATCAATTTTTCTAACTCATCCATTCATTCATTTATTTACTCATTCGTCAATCTTTCATTCATTCTCTTTATCATTCAACCAATGCAAAGCTATTTTCAAACCTAAGTAATAGTTGTAGTAGTTGATTGAGATTAAAAAGCCTCTTAATGAGTTGAAGTAAAGCACAATTAATTTTCTTTGGTGGACCAAAAAAAATCATTGGGCTATGTGTGCGTGCGTGTGTATGTGTGATTTGTGTGTATGTGTGATTTGTGTGTATGTGTGATTTGTGTGTATGTGTGTGCGTGCGTGCGTGTGTGTATATGTACGTATGTGTGTATAGTTTACGTTTCTCAATTCAAAAATCAATCGAGATATAGTAGTAGTAAAATTTTATTTCTAAGACATTTAAAATAAAATTTATTATAAAAGTTAAAAGAGGAGTTTTTTATAAATTTTTAATTTATTAAATAATGCACACACACTCACACACACATAAAAGTTAAACTAATATGTCATCCTATCCAAAGTAATGTCAATAAAAGTTGCTATTTAAAAAGCAGCTAAAGTTGAAGAATAAAAAATATTTCAACAAAACATAAAATTAATCCATTAATTGAATAATTAAATGATTAAATGAATGAATGAATGAATGATTGAATGAATGAATGAATGAATGAATGAATGAATGAATGAATGAATGAATGAATAAATAAACTAACAATTAAACACATATTTGAAAATTTTTTCATGTATTTAGTCAAAATTAGTATTATTAAATTGAAAGATATTGCAGGTGTGTACAAGCAGGGCAACACTTTATACAAAAGAATGGAAGGAAGAGTGAACGAACGAACCAAATGAACAAACCAACGAACGAACCAATGAACGAACCAACGAACGAACCAATGAACGAACAAATGAACGAACTAATAAATATACAGAACGAAAAATTACAAAATCGAATCATAAATAAATAGCAGAAAAAAAAGTTTCTACAATCAATCGTTGTTAATATAGAACAATCGAAATGCCATATCTAAAAGTATGTTAGTGATAAGAAAAAGTGTATATATATATATATGTGTGTGTGTGTGTGTGTGTGTGTGTGTGTGTGTGTGTGTGTCTGTGTGTGTGTAAGTGTGCATGTGAATTATTAATTGCAGCTTATAATATGATTAAACGAGTGAGTCAATAAAATTATCTAAATTGAATACTTGGTCAAATTTATTATCCATTTGCTATGTATTTTGTCGATCTGTCTTTCAAGTTTCAAAATTTAATTCATTCAATCGCTCATTCATTCAAACATTCATTCATTCATTCATTCATTCATTCATTCATTCACTCACCCATTCACTTATTCATTCAGCAGCATTTGCATGCAAGAAAGATTTTATTAAACTTTTTTTTTCGATATACTAAAAACCTCTCAGGTTCATCGTCCTTATAGCATCATTAGTCATGAGAATTGCTTTTTTTATTTCTCAGCATCGTCGTCATCATCATTACTTCATTCATTCATTCATTCATTTATTCATTCATTCATTCATTCATCCATTCATTCATTCATCCATTCATTCATCCATTCATTCATCCATTCAGTTATATGTAAATTTATACATTTGATAGATTAATTTATCTCCTCATTTTCCATCGTCATATCATAGTCATCAACGTCATCCACATAATTATCTTTATCTTCTTTTTTTCATCATCATCAGCAGCACCACAATTATTACTCTCTTCTTCTTCTTCTCTCTCTCTCTCTCTCTCTCTCTCTCCATCAGACATCATTAAACTTCAACAGATTTGACTTTTCACTAAACTTTTTGGCGCTCAAACCCGGCATGATGGCCACTTCCGGTTCGAATTTCCCGCCATCTAGTGAAGATAAATTATCTGTTACGTCAGCGGATGCACTTGTTGCCGTGTTTTTTACGCTGTTATTATTATTATTATTATTATTATTGTTGTTGTTCTTCTTAGTTTCTGAACTTGTTTTTCTCAATCGCATTTCATTGCTACCCGCAGCAGTAGTAGCAGCAGTAGAAGAAGCTGCTATAGCAGCAACAGCATTGTTTCCGCCATTCAAATCGATGACGTCATCGTTGCCAACAATGTCTGCCACCAGCATGGATGAAGATGGAACTGACTCGGCAGGAGGAGCCGGAAGTGGATGTGTCGGAACCTGCAGCTGCTGGTGTTGGTAATTTTCTTTGTCCCTCTTATTGGCCTGGTATCCGTAACCTCCGACAAATAGATTTGAATCCCACATACCGCCGGCGTCGCCGTTCAACATTCCGTAGGGAGCCTGCAAATCATTAGTCGACGATCCGTATGTATTTCCGTAGCGATGGTTATCATTCCCGACGGAAGTCACAAGATGGCCGCCATCGCCATATTTGTTTTGATCTCCGGAATCCTGATGATGATGCCAGCGAGGGTATGACTGGTCGTAACCTGCACTCGTGCTGGCTGAATGTTGGGTGTATCCCTGGTAGTGGGGGTGGAAGTTGTGTATGACGTCAACCATGACGTCACGAGGGTTGATCGTCTCTTTCAAGTTCGAGGAAATGCTCTGCAACTTCTTCACCGACATCTCGGTCGACCTACCTGCCTCGCCGCCACCATTTCCAGCCGCACCGCTGTTTGCAGCCGCGTCCATAGCCACCAATGGATGAAGATTTTTGTAGAGTTTGTATGGGAAGGCGAACCACAGACCGACAGCTGCCAGGGGCATCTCGACGCAGAGGATGAAGTTTTGGTACCCAGCTGAGACAGTTCCCGTTCCGGCGATGAAAACCCCATCGTGGGAGTAGAGCGGACTGATGAGGCCGGCACGTTCAAGGATCGCTAGTAAGACGCCTGTGTCGTAGTCGTAGTTGTGGCGGTGGTGGTAGCAGAAGTTATTCATCATTGTATTAATCATTAATATAATCGTGATTATTTAGTTTCAATTTATTTAAGAAAACAAACTCATCACCATCATCTACAACGTCATTCCTCCCTCTTCATCAACACCACAATCCCCCAACCTCCCACCACCACCACCACCACCATCATCACCATCACAAACCCTGCCAAAAAGAAACAAAGATGATGCTTTTGACGACGAGAAACTTGAGAACTGGGTCCGCTCTGGTGAGCAAATCTTTCGTGCAGAAGTAAAACAGGAGGAGAGCGTAGAGAGCCAGACTGATGCTGACGTTGTAGATGATGGTGATGTAGAGGTAGCCGCTTTGGGGGCTGCAACATTGTTTTTGTTATTATTATTATTATCATTATTATTATTATTATTATTATTAGTAGTAGTAGTAGTAGTAGTGGTAGTGGTAGTAGTAGTAGTAGTAGTAGTAGTGGTAGTAGTAGTAGTAGTAGTAGTAGTAGTAGTGGTAGTGGTAGTAGTAGTAGTAGTGGTGGTGGTGGTAGTAGTAGTAGTAGTGGTAGGGCAGGGTACTAGCAGTAGCATAATCACATTCAATACAAACGTGTGACAAAAAAAGAAATGAAACGAACTAAACTAACATTTAAAGAGCAAACACACAAGCGTACAAACAAACGCCAAAATATACAAACACTCAACATACAAACAAACATACAAACAAACAAACAAACAAACGCCAAAATATACAAACACTCAACATACAAACAAACATACAAACAAACAAACAAACAAACGCCAAAATATACAATCACTCAACATACAAACATACATACACACAAACAAACAAACAAACAGACAAACAGATATACACAAAGAAAGAAACAAACGTACGAGAAATCTCCGTCCTTGTACAGTCCTTGGGACTGCAGAACCAGAGTTATCACCGCCATCAATGGCTTCACAATACAAAACTGCAGGGTAGCCTTAGTTGATTGACAGATTGATTAAGTGAATGAATAAAATCAATAAATGAATGAATAAATAATAGGATGGGTGGATAACGAATATGTATATGGGGGAGGGAGAAGTCGACGAACGAATGAACGAACGAACGATTGAATGAACGAAAAGGTAGAAGAACCAACGAACAAACAAACAGACAAACCTGCTTACAGAACCTCAAAGTTGTAATATTGAAAAGCTTGCCGGACAAGCAGCACGTACAATAGAGACAACTCGATCTGATTGGCTTGCCATTTATCTCATTCATAATTCTACCCTCACCACCTAAGTACTCGAAGCACAGACTCAAAAAACTGTATATGACGAAGGCTGCGGTAGTGATGGTGGAGATGATGAAGATGGTGATGATGAAGATGGTGGAGATGATGAAGATGGTGATGATGAAGAAGATGGCGATGATGATGATGATGAAGATGATGATGATGGTGGCGATGATGAATGATGGTGATGGTCAAAAAAATGAAACAGGCGATGATTATGGATGTGAGTAAAATTACGAGGTTAAGTAAAATAATAAACTTGACTATTTTTATCACATCATTACCTGACCACCAACACCAACATTATAATTCTCGTCCTCTCACCACATCATCATCATCATCATCATCATCACTACATCATCATCATTATCACTACATCATCATCATCATCATCATCATCAGCGGCACATCATCATTATCATAACCTTCGTAACAATCGCGAACGGTATTAAAGTAGACGTAGTAGTGGTCGTAGCTGAAAAAGAGCAGACTGAGCCAGGAGTCGAAGGCGTAGATGGGGACGATGAACAAGATCCGGACTATCCACCTCTGGATGGCCGGATTAGTGTAGTAACGTAAGTGAAAGTAGATCTGTGTGTGTGTGGGGAGAGGAAGGAAGAATTTAAATGCGGAATTAGATTCAAAAAAGTTTAAATCAATCTTATTTAAGATGACGATTGCAAACACCAACAATTCTATTTATTCATTATCATTCTTTCTTCTGAATTTTTTCAAGAGGCACCAGTAGAAAACACACAACGCAAGTAGAAACACATGTGGAAGAGCACGTCACTTGCACACACTCATTACACCTGACGGGTGGGGATCTCTTTACAAACGAAGAATCGATAAAAGTGTCAGGCACTGTACATTCACGCAATCGCGACACCCAATGATATATAAACAAAATGATATAAAATAATAAATGAAAAGTGGATTTTTAGAAAAAAAACGAACATGGATAGATGTCAGGATGATAGCTAGGACCGCCAAAATGCCCGCGACGGCTTGGGCAGCTGTCGTCTGGAGAAAAATTTTTTCATGAATTAGTGGATTAGTCATTGTTGTGGCGTTGCCATAGTCGCCAGTGAAGTTGCTGTTGTTGTTGTATGAAGACGTCATTGTCATGATTGGTGGTGTCGTTGATGTCCAGTTTTTTATTGTTGTTAGGTTGTAGGGTGGTGATGTGATGTTGTTCGAGAAGAACGGTGTTGATGTTGTTGTGTTGTTTGCGTTGTTGTTGTTGTTGTTGATGTTGATGATACTGTTTTTTTCAT